CGCTGCTCGGCTCCATTTAGTCGTAGCGTGATTTAGCCTTAGCTTTATTTTTATTATTTTATTTATTTTATTATTAGCCTGTAGCACTCAGGAACATTGTAGATATCTATCAGTGAAATAATTTTGGAAATCCGACCAGCGGTTCCAAAGATTACCCCCTACATACAAACTTATAATCATACAAACTTACAAGCTTACAAATTTAACCTCTTTATAATATTAGTATAGAAAAGCAAGTAAGAGGATTTCTTCGCTCCTATTTATTTTCGTAAATGGAAACAAAACTCATCGATATAATAAGAGTCAAGTAAATTTCATCCATCATTACAGGATTTAGGACGAAATCTGGTATAGAGATATAATCTGGAATTACACACTATTTTACCCTGGTACTAAGAGTGGAGTCGCTGACAGAAGTTGACTTGTATGTTTATATAACGCAATCCAGAGATGAGATTCCTATTTCTTTTAAGTCACTTCTCGACTGATGACCTTAACAATAAAAAAATATTATTTATTATACCTATCGATTTTATTATACACGACCGTAACGTTCAACCCTATTTACCTTACCGAAGTACCTAGGACTGTCTGTCCGATGTCCTCGATAAGTGAAGTCCTCAATTTCCTCATCGATTGCATTAATAATGACTTCGGCCGGTGTTTGACCCCGTCCATGTCTAGTCAGTGAACTTTGACACACATCTAGTACAAACCTTTCAAGTTTACCCCTTGGGGTAAACAGAGAGGTCGTTTACCTTAACTATGCAATTGGTACTCGGAAGTTCCAAAGTGATGTTCGAAATTTCGATGAGCTTTTTATGTGATACGATCGGATTATCTGATGGATGGTAAGCAATCGGCACTCACAATGCAAGAGGAGTTCCAAGTGCGTTGCCGGCGTTATGAAGTAACTGTTTTTGAGGATTTAAGGAGTGAAAGGGGACGGGAAGGATTGGTCCTTACTCACACGGCGTATTTTATAGCTGTGTTTTTGTCAAGTCGGTTTTCTGTGAAGCCGTTGTATCAATCTGGTCGAGGCAGTCCATTGGTGATGCTTGGCGTGGTTCGCCCATGTTTATTTTATGAGTTAGTTTTCTTGCTACGAGTTTTAAAATTTATTAAAGCAGAAGACGTCTTGTTGCTGGTATAATGATGATTTTCATCGACTGGCTCTGTAAAGCGAGAAGAAGTTGCAGACTCACAGACTAAAAACAACGTATTCTAAATTTTTTTTCGAGCTAGGTATCAGTATTTATAAGTCCAGGTTTTCTCAAGAGCTTTTCCTATACCGTATAGAAAGATAGAAAGTACATATAACTCGGAAAAAGCCAAATAGGTACTTGCCAGGTTTCCCACCCGAAACCTCATGCATAAGAAGCGTGTGCTTTAACCTCCAGGCCACCAAGACATCTAATATGGTATAATCTAGCTAGAATGTAGATAAGTGTGGTACATATCTGCTTAAGCGTATGCCTTCTGCAGCAAATGCACGGAATATTCGTTTGTAAATACCGTGTTTTGGCTTTTAAACTATTAAAAAAGAAGTGAAAAAAGTTGAATATTTTCAACATTTGGCTATATGTTTCGACCAAACTAAATATGCATGAAACAATGAATTTATGTTTGCAAATAGGCCATAAAACGGCACTTTTACACGTCAATTTATATGTGAAAAACTAGATGAAGCCGGCATTTCCTATCTGACTACTCTGAGAAGAAATGCCGAAACAAACTCAGAGTTCAGTCTCTATGAGTAGCTCATATGTTACGTAGTCATGATCTTACGATGATGAAGTGATTTCGTGTAAATTAAGTTACTAACTATTGTTCTTCGTTGTGCTCCTTCACAGCGTAAAAACCTAGGTCAATCCAAGTCTGTGCAATAGTAATCTTTTTAAAAATGCAGCTTTGTGTCCTCTTCTAAGTCACTACAATCATTAATTTCGTTTCAATCACACCCCATGCTTGACCTTTGGCACAATTTACCATAAAGTTCACACTGGCACACATTATATTCCGGTGTGTAATTATAGTTCATGTTGGTCATTACTAAACAAAACTAAAAATGAGGTTCACCAAAAGTAGACCAGTCAAGGACCTTTAACAAAGACAAATTTATCATTCCAAAAATCATTTTGTACATCTATAAATTCTTTATTTACCCGACATAAGGGTCAATTTACATTGAACACAATTTTCGAGGGCAGCAAAGTCAAGTTTGTGTGGCGTACGCATCGAATCTTGCGGTCAACGTTGGTTTCCGCAAACACGTTGCTATGACAACGGGCCAATAACAAACCTGTCAAATAGCACACGATTTTCCAACAAGCCGGTTTTAACACAAGTAATGACACACTTTTTCAACTTGTACCCCTTGAAAATTATGTTTTCGTGACCTTAAAAAGCTTTCAATGTGGCTTTGAATATTCATACTTATGTACTTAGCAAATGCTGTCAGATCTTTGAGAACAAAAATGGAATTTGGATTTGGAGACTTTTTGTACCCAAACATTGGGGGATTACGGAATTATTTCCGAATCGATCCTTGCGGGTAAGCTTGCTTTGTTGTGGTTTGATGGTTGGTCTCTAGGTCATTACATTCTAGATTCAACAGACTGTAGTTCGAAAATGTACCTACGTCAAGCTTGTTCTATCGAAAATAGTTTCGTGTAGTTTGATTGAAGTCTAATCAATCCTAAGTAGTACACTAGATAGTTTAAGCTTAGTTTCAAGTAATACATAATAATGTTACGTACATGAAGTTATAATTAAAACCTTATTTTTAAAAGCTGAAACTCGTCTTGTCTTTACCATTAAAAAAAGTATTCTAAACTAGTAGTCTTTGGTAGTTTGAAGTTAGAATGTAAGCTTTTTGGTTGTCATCGAATAAATTTCACAAAATAATTATCCATAAATTCATATTATATAATAATGAATTAAAAGCTTTATTCCATAAAATAACTAATTTCAAATTCTTATTCAACATGTCGGTCAGATTAAAAGTGTAGCGTTACGTTTATATTTTTCAAAAACAATCGTAGTGAGGATGTAAATAAAATGAATTTTTGAAAAATTTTTGTCCTGTCGGACATATACAGCGAATATGCATACAATTATCAAAAAAGTGCTCTACAGAATACCTAGCAGTATTAAAAGGTAACGTGTTCTTTTAAGATAGTTTTGTGTAGAATAAATACTTCTTTTTGTTATTTTTTTTTAAGCGCTGGAGTTCAAAATTTCTCGTGTTCATTTCCAATGAGACTAATAGAGTATATTAATATGTATAGTGCTCTATAAGTTTTCATTAAATTATTAATCTGAGTTGTACTTGGAAAGTAATATCATTTAGTCAGCAATCGCTTTTGCGACTGGTCGAACGACGAGGTAGAAATAATATAGTCTTACAATTTATATTAAGGAAAGCTACTTATGCTACTACTTACACTCTAAGCAATACATGTTTCCATAAAACATAAAAAACTTAGCTTTAATTTATTACAAACGCGATTACCATTCAACGCTGAAGGCGCCTTAATTGCTGAAAATCAGGTCGATTTTGTTTTGTAAAGGCTTCGACCATTACAATTAGCTTAGCTTAGGATACTATTAAACAGCTTATGTTTAAGTTAAGAAAAGTATAAGAATTGCTAAAAGTATTGTCTTTTTATGGGAGAAATAGAGTTATTAGTCAGTATAAGCACAGATAAGCGTAAAAAATACTTGCGTTATGTTTAACGTATGTGTGAGTTTACCGAAGGCCCAATCTTATCGCCAAGTTAAAAAATAAACCAAGGTTTTATTAATTTTATTAACTATTTCCCTATCCTAAAATTTCTTACAACAGACAAAACGCCGGGAACAATCTGGGGTATCGAGTATAAATGTTGACGCTAAATGCTTACCATCAGGTGGTGTCTTCTCGTCCTATATAAAAATGGAACTTCTATCACATCACCATTTACTAAACTTGTTAAAATTTTGAATACATTTAGTTTGAAGTGCAGAAAAGGATAGGAAATCTGGTAGGCTAACTTTCACAAGAGTAAAGCTGCGGATAATGCCTTTTTTCAAGTGGAAAGAAAATCGAGTAATCGTCTCGAATCGAGTAACTACTAAACTTAGACAAAACGCTAATAAAAGCAGAAACTTTTGCTAATAATTGCAAACATGCAATGACCATAGCAACATGTTGTAATCAATTTTCTTGCGTCGCTGTGTGTGTGCAGGTCATTGCTCCGTAAGAGGACTATTATTGCTTGCCTGGAAATGCATTACGATTTTAATGGTTCCGATATTAAAGGAAATGTAGTTTTCAAAAGAAACTATAAATATTTAAAAATGCGTTATTTTTTTCAAAAAGTTCTTTAAGCGGTTGGTGGTGCTCTATTTTTGAGTAGGTATTTCTTCTTCAAGAATTAAAAGATGAAACAAAAAGATTAAATATACATAAATAATAAAATAAATAGGTTGAAGATTGACACATATTTTGTTTATTTTACTACCTTAGTACTTGAAGTAGTACCTAGTAATTAATCAAAGATTTAATTTAAAGTTAATCAGTAATGTATTACTATGACTATTCTGAATATTTCTCAATCATTCATTTATTGTATGGTCCGTTTGAGGCGCCGTTTATCTCAAGAGTATTCAAGTGATATGTCGGTCTTTCCATCAATTGAAGACCAGCTCAATGTCAGAATCATTTAATCAATTTCCACAGCCACGTTTATTTTTAACCTGGTGACAAATGTCTTTGTTTGTTTTCACGTTGACAAAGACGTGTTTTCATTTTAATAAAACAACAAAGCAGAAAGTTGTGTCTTAGTTTTTGCCGTACCTAACCTTTAAAATTTTGATTAAATTATTGAACATTTTATACAGGATGTTGTTAAGGTTTTTGGAATGAATGAGAGGTTCTAAAATGAAACGCATTGTACTTCGATTAAAAATCTCCAAAATACAAACATCAACTAATTAAATAAAACTTTATTCCACAGTCCAGCATCAGGGTTCCATCAAATGGCCAGGATGATGGACCGCATGATGGTGGAAAGCCTCCAACCGTTTGGGTTTGCGCGAATGACAGCAAGTCGGAGCGGAGACAATAAAGGTGATTCGGATCAACCTAGAGACGGATTGAGAACGGAACGAAGCGAGACCAGGAGAGAACGAGCTAAGAACCAACCAGCCACACACGCTGCTTTGGGGACACGACATTTGCCTACACAAGGTGAGTGTTAATCTAATAGTAGGAGAAGACGAAGAATAGGATGACGAATTTAATATTCTAAATTAAGTGTAGTGTTAGCTTTAAGAAATACCTCCTCACCTTTTTTTAGTTGTCAAACCATCGAACGTGGTAAACATAAGTGAAAAACCTCCTGACCAACAAAAAAATCCAGATCCGACCACAGAAAAGTGGGCAGGGACGTTGCGACGCCGAGACCCGGCTACCGTACTGCCGTCAATAGGCAGAAAAACTTCATCTTTAGGTAGTGGAAGAATGATTAGCAGATCTGTTGACAGAATACCCAAGACGGGTAGAGCTCGACCTCTTGTTCCTATAAAACCGAGACTTAGAAAAGCAGATGTTCCTAATGAAGGGCCCGATGTCACCATTTTCGAGAGGGATGAGAAGGTCTTCGATGCGACAGGATACGAACTCCATCTAGTGGAGACTTTGGAAAGAGATATTTTACAGAAGAATCCTTCTGTCCGCTGGAAGGATGTCATAGGACTGGATGACGCTAAGTCTGTATTGCAAGAGGCGATGGTCTTACCCTTGGTAATGCCTGATTACTTCAAGGTAAGTTTGTAACATATTCTTATATACAACTGTTTATCGAATTTTGTAACCATTTATTTACCAATCCGAAACCTCCACACCATTACAATTTAACCGGGCTGATTTTTAAGACCAAAATAACACAACAAAAACAGTTGAACAATGAGTATAATAAACTAATTGTTCAATTACGGTAATTTTACAATTTGCTCAAGCCGAAACATTCTACGTCACCAAGGAGAATTGGGACGTTGTAAGGACTTTGCTTAAAGAAAATAAATCACCTTCTCAATCTTGTAGCCTAGTTTAAATTGACGATTTGCGTGACGCCGCCAACGGTCAATGCTCATTTGTTTTTGTTTGCTCGTTCTTTTCAAGTTATTTGTGATTTGTGTGTTTACTTCTAGCTGGAAATTGGCCATTCTATATCTTGAGTGGCAGACTAATGTGTGTTGCTAATTTTATAATGTGAATTTTCAAATTATTTCATTATTATATTTATCGTCTCTGATAAAACTTAATTGGTCGGTCAACCAGCAGCCATATTACCTGGTGGTAAGCAATCAGTGTCGCCCATGGACACTTGTACTCGTAGCACCAGAGGACTTAGAAGTATGTTGTGTGGGATATTAGGGACTTAGCGATTCAGGATGAGCAGAGGAAGAGAAGGTTATGGCTCCGGTAACCTCATTCATACGGTAAAACACTGTGCGAACGTCGTTTAACGCCGGTATTTTATAAGGCCGTGGTATCACTCTGGTCGAGCTGACTCATTGTGCCGAAACTTTCCCAAATGGCTCTCTTAAGATCTTTTTCACTTCACTTTTGAAGTTGGACGATAGAACATAATATGAGTATTGTGTTCTGTTAGGCTAGTTAATTTCTATTTTTACGTAAACTAAGTAACACACACGTATGTTTTACCTGTTATGTAATTAGCTATTTGTTAAACACTGCGGTTCGCCGGTACTGGTGTTTTGCGTGACTCGACGCGTCCAGTGTCGCGCATAATATCAATAATAATGGTCTGTGGTCTACGCTAGTTAGGCCTTGAACTACACAAAACGTAGCCGACGCACGCCATGCCTAGGCCTCGTGATCTAGGCTAGAATTTCGATGGCCTGAATACTTAGAGACGATTAAAATTTAGACTTGTTATGAAAGTTTTTGGAGGCAAATTTATTCTTTTCTATGTTTACAGTTCCATAATGAATGTTGTGGTCCATTTATGTGATTCTTTCATAATGGGTTTTTCAGAGTCCCAGATAGTTAGCAGAAATTGTTCAAGAAATTCATGTAGTAAAAACAAAATTTTATCACATCCTATATAAACAGAAAAACCTTATAATCAAAATTGCATCATCCTTAAAATCAGATGACTAATTGTTAATAAGAGAACTTCTTACAGTCCCTAAAGTCCTTATAGTCCCCAAGCTGACCAATATTTTGCTTTTTAACTTTTTGAACGATTTACATATTGTAGGGCATCCGCCGACCTTGGAAGGGTGTCCTTCTAACAGGTCCACCGGGAACTGGTAAGACCCTGCTTGCCCGAGCGGTAGCCACCGAGTGCCGAACTACTTTCTTCAACGTGTCATCTGCCACCCTCACTTCGAAGTACAGAGGGGACTCCGAGAAACTGGTTCGCCTTTTGTTTGATATGGTGAGTAAGAATAAATATTTCATAACCAATTTTGTCACAAGAATTGCTTTACAATACCTAAGTTAATTTTAAATACTAAGACTGTACTTGCTTCCTCAGCAGCTTCGCCCGAATAGTATTGTATTGATCATCTATCAAACTTCAACCAAATCGATCTAGCCAAAAAATAACAAACACATCCATAAATTCTCATAAACTTGGACATTTACAATATTAGTAGAAAATAAGTAGGACAGCGGTATTATAATAATAAAAAAGAAACATATCTCATAAACACGTCACAACGTCTCTATATCTATGGTAAAACCTGGATAGAGTACTCGTACCACTACAATTGATAAAAAACGCAAACATTGATAAATTCCAGGCAGCATTCTACGCCCCAAGCACGATATTCCTAGACGAAGTGGATTCTCTTTGCGCAGTCCGCGGCGCTGACTCCGAACACGAAGCTTCAAGGAGGTTCAAGGCTGAATTGCTCATACAGATGGACGGACTGGCAGCTGCTTTGTAAGTCTGCATTATTTGCAAATATTGAGGACCGATGAGAATTACTGCTGCTGCTTTTCAGGCAAATGACTTCACGGTTGCCGCGGTGGCTGGGCAACTGGCTGCCGCGCAACGTGTGTATTCCACAAATTGTTGTTCCGGGTCTGGGTGTGATGTGTATGTGAATTTGTACGCTTTTAAACGCACCCACGACAAAGGAGGAAATCCTAGTGTGAGGCATCGTTTTACCTAAAAAAACAACAAATTATTCTTCTTGTTCAACTTACTCCAAAGGACGAGTCCTTTGAAATTGGAAGTCTTTTTTCGATCGTGCCATTTTTACTGTTATTGAGCTATATATCTGGTTAACTAAATGATGCGGGATTTCCGTTAACTTCAAATAAGAAAATAGTGCTAGTATTTTAATGTCTAGTTTCGAAATCATTAACAGTTTATTACTCTTGAATGTTAAATTTTTTTTTCTTATTCTGTGCTGTTTTGTGATTTGTTCCAGCCATCGAGATAAAATCATAATGGTGTTAGCAGCGACTAATCACCCATGGGACATCGATGAAGCTTTCAGAAGACGATTCGAGAAGAGGATCTACGTCGGTCTACCTGACGGTAGGGGCTTGATAAATTAATTATGTACCTAATAACGGCCACGAACGACCTTCTCAATTACTTAAAACGCATCAAAATCCGTTGCTTAGTAGTATAAAGGGACAAAAAGTGACTTTGTAGTACTATGTAGTAATATATTGACAACTGACGTCTTTTTATAATGATATAATTGCCCAAAAATTAACAGCATGATTGGCATGGTATCGTAAGCGCAGCGCATTCACGGCACAAGAATTAATTTCTAGTGTAGGGAATTGAATGGGAAAGGGATATTTCTGCTCTTTGAAATAAAATAAGATTTCTATAACGAAGAAATACGGTAGTTTCCAACTAGTCAAATTCAATACTTTTATCCAAACGTCAAAAACTATACTTTTCTATGAAATTTGTATGAAGAACTGAGCTATGACGTCATAACATTTTTGCGTCAAATAGCATACTTATTTCACAATAATTGGCTAAAAAAAATCTTAAACTTGGTGTATCGATCGGTCGATGAATAAAAGTATAGTTATTGTTCAATATTTTATTGTATTGAAACATTAGATTAATTTATTTTTGACCTAAGAAACTACCCAATTATGATAATTATTTTAATTTCTCATATTTATTAAAAAAAAATCCATATTATACCAATCTATTTATTGTGTGACATTTGTATTTTAGAGGAAACGAGAGTACGGCTGCTGAAACTTTGCCTAAGAGATGTGGTGCTTAGCGAGGGCGTCAAACTAAAGGATATAGCCAGTCAGCTTGAGGGATACAGCGGTTCTGACATCAGTAATCTCTGCAGGTGAGGATTACTAGAGATATTTAAGACTTACGATATCAAAAAGGAACTCAACTTGAGCAAATCCCAAAAGTGTGATCAGGGTAGGGCAGGCCAGGGGGATTAAGGGTGGGAGAACCCTGCTTCGGCACAAATGTGTTTTCTCGACCGGACCATGGCCTTCAGAAAACCGGCGTCAAAAAACCACAGCTTTGTGTTTTGCCATGTGAGTGAGGTAACCGGGGCCCCAATCTTGTTCCTGCCCCAATCCCCAAATCTCGAAAACCCTAAACCCCAAAAAGGTAGGTAACGTCCTCGTAATTCCTTTGTCGTTGCGGGTGTCCATCGAGTATCATATCAAAAAAGGATCTTAAGACACGATGTCCGGTGACTTAATTGTGGCCTTCAAAACATTTGTCAAGGCTCTTACGGTTTTGAAATTAAAGGAGGTAGCATGTGTGGACATGATATATTTTGATAATATTAGTTCCGAGACGTTGAAATGACTTGAACGAATGAATGAGAAGATATTTTTAAAAGATACACAATACTTAAAAAATATCATACCAATTTAACGGTGATCAGAAAATTTTACTACATACTTTTTAACTAGTTACTTTTTTATATTTCTAGGGACGCAGCAATGATGACGATGCGGCGTAAAATAGCTGGCAAGAGTCCTGACGAAATACGACAGCTCAAGCGATCTGAACTCGAAGCTCCTGTTTCAAGCGCAGACTTATCCGCTGCTATTGAGAAGACCAGGTAACTAATCTATATTAATATTATAAAGAGGTAAAATTTTGTATGTTTGTATGTAGGGGTAATCTTTGGAACCGCTGGTCGGATTGCCAAATTTATTTCACTGATAGATAGCTATAAAACATCACGCTACTAACAAATGGAGTCGAGCAGCAGGTAACCGCATGAGAGTAGCTAGTAATTACTATAGAGTTAGTAAACATTGAGCTACTCTAATAGGTAGACGTCATGGCAAAAAAGATAGAAACAGAGAAATGTGTGCGAATATAACTAAAATTCATCATCATTATCATCATCAGCCAAAAGACGTCCACTGCTGGACAAAGGCCTCCCCCTTGACAAAGGCCTCCCCCTTGACAAAGGCCTCCCCCTTCACTAAAATTATAGGGCCCCAAACATCTCTATCGAACTCAAAATTTTGGAATTTGATTCTATCTCTAGAATAAACTCGCCTAATCATAGCTGAAAATTGCCAGATTTTGCGGATTTAGGTACCTACACATTCTGGGGTGGTCTGCAAATATGTCTTGTCTAATTTGTCTTGTCTTGTCTTGTTGTCACAAAGAGTTGCTCCTTTTCAGGCGTACGGTATCAGATGCGGACGTGAATCGATACAACAATTGGATGGCCAAGCACGGGTGTTCCTAGCGCCGCGCCTGGGCTCTCAGAGCCCTCTTACAGAAACTGCGTAACGACTAAACGTAACAATCGAACTAGTGGCGTATGCTGTCTCAGCTAGGCTGACGACTTAAAAAGAACTTCTTCGTTTTAAATATGCAGACATCTACCCTTTTTATACCATAAAACTGCTTCCTTAGCATTTCTGCAATTTTTTCGAAGATTTGCAACCTGTTTTTTGTTCAACTTTTTCATATCTATGCTTGTCTATCAAGTTTCTTTGTTTACATTACAAGTCTTGTCAAGGTATTTAGTTTTATTTTTATTATTATTCATACACTTCAATATTTTTTACGTCGAAGAAAAAATATAGTAACGTGTAGTTTTCTATAGAAATCTTGGTAACCTCTCAACTAATCGAAATTATTTAGTGCTAAGAGCTAGTATGCCAATGTTTTACAAGATTTTAAAGTTAAACAGTGTGATTTAAAGTTCATTTTGCTTCAACGAGTATGATATTAGTCTGCGTAATTAAAAAAAGCGTAAAATTATCTTGAAATTAGGGGTCAGCCTAGCTTGGACGCGTATTAGCCCTCTATAGATACGATATTGGGACTGAATCCAGTGACTATAAAATTATAAAGTGTAAACTATATACTGTTTCAAGAGTGATCTAAAATTTTGTATTGGAACTAAGAACCCTCTGGTTTTTTCCCTGTGACCATTGAATATTATCTAAGTTTTTTTATTCATATTAGGTTGTTGATAAAGCTACTTGGAGTAACTAATAAATGGAGTAATACCTACATAACCTACCTAAATACATGAACAATTTCCAGATTTCACTTCACATTTTCATTGATGATGTGTACGTACCTACAAGTAGAAACTTTTTTGGCGCCAAGATTATACTGATTTTATTCGCACTCCTTTATCAATTGTTACAGAACATATAAAATGGGTCTTTTTATGATAAATGAGTAAGTAAACATGGTTTTTCAACTATGCCATCGAATGTATTATTCTTCCATTTGTTGTTTACTCCGAATAACTTAATTAGTCCGAACTCCGAATGCGTTAAATGTGGTGAGAATTGATGGTTCATTGTGACGACCTTTGAGTACTTGTGTCACTAGATATTGTGCAAGGAAACCACATTGATCCAACAAAGTAAACTTAACATAATTATAATATTGAAAAGATTTTTATATAAATGTCTAATTAAGATGCACTCAACGAATGTAATTAGAAAGAAAAAGAATTACGAAAAGTTTTATTTACTTAACAAGATCGTGGAAATTATATTATTGATTTATTTTAGCGAATTTAAGTTTTTGTTTTATTTTATTTGACAATTATTATAGCTGATACGTTACCCTTTATGTAGCTTATTTTCATTAGTATTTCTACAAATAAATTCTGAATTAGAGATTTAGTTATTTACTTTATTAAATAAAATTGTATCATAGTGATGTTCGTATTATCGATATTATTTATTAATCGATTGCTTTTGGTATCGATACCTGTACTTTTTGCTGAAATGAATTATATCGCTTTATTTTAAGAATGATATTTTTGAATTTTAATTAGTATTATATAATTTCATGGATTTCGGCTTTAAGTGGAAAATTATCTCACGGAATTGAAATGTGGGTGTTTTTTTTGTAATAAAAGAGCAAGAATGGTCAAAATCTGTTTATTGAGGAATGGCGTAAAATAGTGTAGTTGATAAATTTGTCTGTCTGTCTGCGTAAATATTTCAGTGTAAAATGTAGCTGTACCGTGCCGTTGGATAACGTGTAGATATGAATTTTAATAAAGCTCTTATACGAAGTTTGATACAGAAGAGTTTGATTTCACTCTATTCTTGATATGTCTCATAAATTAATTATTAAGGCCACAAATTGGTCCATAAAGTTAGTAACAAAATAAAAAATAACTAACAAGAAAAATATAATATTCAACTACAACATGATTAATAAAATAAATAATTTGGTTTTACATTCAACAGCCTGAGTCTAAAACAATGGCAAAATTAAACATATTCATTATTTAAAATATAATAAAAATAATTTGTATTTTCCAGTAATATGAACAAAGTGACTAACAAGAGATGTAGCAACTAGCTGATTGGGTAATCGAAAATCGATTAACATTCGTTGCACTCTATAATCGACTAATTAATCAGGTAGTTAAACATCTCGACTATAAATTACATCACTATACATGCGATTTTACTAAAAATTACATAAAGATGGAACATTCCTTATATAATTAAAAGAGTGAATACTTAATAGTTCGCTAGATTAGAAGGCACTATAATAATATTTACACGAGAAACGATTGCTTCACAAACATGCGATAATATTTAAAAGAAAACGTATCTTTGGCTAAAAATAGTATTACAACAATAATAATTGTTTACACGCGCTCACCGTGTGGATCGACGTGACAGTTTAAATTTAGAACAACATTTCTCAACCGGCGATGTTATTTTGCCTTGAACTATATTTTATTCGGTATTTTCAACTATCGATAAATGTAATGGCCGTCTCTATTTGTGACTGACAGAGAGAGCGTGTAACAATATTTTAAACAAACAAAAAATATATCATTTCGCTTAAATCTAAAGTTAAATATTTAAAATCATTATTTTTTGTGATTTGTATTATAATGTGAATACTATCACAATCACCACGCCATTTTGTCACATGACGTCATTATTAATTATTATTCGATGTCTTTTGATCCGAATTTGTACTAAGACTCCGAAAATGATATTTCGGACATTTTTATTTGAAGACAGATACCTCGAAGATAATCGATGTCAATTTCAAAACAGCAAATCGTAAAACAGAGTTTGAAAACGGAACGTTTGATTTGGTATAGTTAGCTACTGATAGATACTGGCTGATTTTTCAATGGTGAGATAAAAGTTATCTGGGGAATAATTATAATGCTGTCGCGTCAGAATGTTTGTATAAGACAGTGACAGCAACAATTTTATTCCTCAGATGGGAGGAGTCAGATAAAACATTTATCTGACTATTAAAAAATCAGCCCTTAGTGTTTCCAAATAAATTCGAGCGCGCGCGTGTAGGTAGAAATGATGAGATGTAAGCGTGTAATGAAAATGGCGCCTTGTTTCCGAACTAGTAGCGTTCAAGCAGACCCTTTAACATTCAGAAAAAGAAAAAGAATTTTAATTCTTGTATAAATCATTAGGATTAGGAGGTATTAGATCATTAAAAAAACATTTTGGTTACTATGGATCTCCAGTTTCACATTTTTGCTTTATCTTCAAATACGTAATCGTGTTGTGCCGTGTCAATTTCGTACTGTCATACTTTTTTAATTTCTTATCCTACTTATAATTCTCAAAAATCTAGCAACAAATTCAGAAAGACTACAAATTCCTAAAATCTATGTAATCTAAGATTTCGTTTGTACGTAAAAATGATATTTGCGAATTTATTTTAAACGCTGAAAATAGATGTCAGTCGCGTTGAAGATCAATGTCCTCTTTAATATTGTAAATATTCGTTCGACATTCAAATATTTTTCTTAAGGCACTTTGGTAAATTGTTAACGTATTCTCAATTTTATTGTCTACAGTATACGTTCAAATTTGAATGACAGTTAAATATTTTGAATAATATTAAGTTGGGTGAGGATAAGGATCAGATTTTGTCTCCAAACAATGGAATATTATCCTTATCTTTAAGAAAATACGATTTATTTTCGCTGCACATTATTTTTACTATATCATGCAATTTTATTGTCAGAGGAATGATTTCATCAACTTCATCTCACATTCTAGTCTTCTAAGTCGTGAGAGCCGATCTAGTGTTAGGAAATAATTTGACCTTACAATACAAAAAGTTACATTTGAACAGATTCATAATTCCTTGCCAGAGAATTTGAAAAGCAATCACCAATTAAAAATTTAGGTAAAAACCATTACGTCATAGATCAGAGATCAGAGCTGGATCATGCACCATTGCGGGAAAGGGAAGGCACTATATTTTAGAATATACTTTTGTCCCTTTCAGTGGGCGAAAGAGACACAATTACTGCAGTGCACATTAGAAGTCTAGTTACGCGACTGACATACACCTAGTTTCAACATCACCAGCATAGCCGCACACCTTGTTCGGTGCTCTGATTGGCTACTTATCTACACTAATTAGTCTTCTGGTCACTCGGGTGGGCCTCCATTGGTCTCCATGACTGGTTTATGGTCATCTTCTTCGTTCTCCAGGATATCAGTAAAGGAGAACGGTGCGAAGGCATACCCTTGACCTTCGTAGAACTTGCTCATGAATTCCACCCTGGAAACAGAGATGTGTTAGGAGAATGAGTGGAGAACTAAAGATAGTAATGTGAGATTTGTGAGTGGAGTTTTTACCGATGGGTTTTGCGTTAAGGATCACGTATTAAGGTGACCCATCAAAATGATTTTTTAAATCTGGTGCTATCTCGCACCAAAGCTAAATATTTAAGAAAATTTTCGTCTGTTTTATAAAGTAGGGCGAAGAAAGCTTAAGTACGAGAGACACATGCCTCGGCACGAATGGGCAGGCTCGACCAGAGTGATACCACGGCCTTACATAAAGCCAGCATGAAGAAGGTTCGCCTTGTGAGTGTGGTTACTGAAGGCCCAGTCTTTCCCCCAACCTCAATCCTCAAATCCTTTATCCTTTATCCTTTAATCCCCGTAATAACTCACAAGAGGCCGGCAACACACTTGTGATTTATTGTGATATGACGCTTTGCTTACCATCAGTAAATCCGAAAGCTCGTTAGCCAACGTATGGCTAAAAAAAAAATGAATGAAACAAAGACCAATTGAAGTTGATATTAATACTATCTTGACTTACCAATGTAACCGAAGTGTATGCAGGAAGGCAGACAGACCCTCCATGAGCACCAGGATGGCCAGCGTGAAGAAGGCCCACACCGCGAATATGATGTACAGCTTTATAGAGGTCACGCCAGGTGGGCCCATGCCCATCACTAGCACACGCTGCCATAGTACTGCGGAGAGCTCTGTTGAAGAAAAGGATGGAAATATATTATTAGGTGTTGAAAGCTTAGGAAAATATGAGGGCAAACGTGCCTTTTCTAAAGAATATTTTAGTTCTAAATTTAGGTATAAATTTGTGCAAAATTGTGTATGCTTTAAAATAATAGAACAAAGCTCTTTTGGAAGGTAATAAATGATTGGAATATAGGTATTATTATAAGGCAAATTCCACCGACACCAACAATATTTTTATAGGTTTTTATGTGATAGGATATGCAAGCAAGCATACTGATTACCTGATGGTGGGCAATCGATGCTGCCCATGTCACAATTGCTACATCAGAGAAGTTACGAGTGCGTTGCCGGCCTTTTGCCGGGGCGGGTAAGGATTGGGCCTCAGGCAACCTGACTTATACGGCGGAAGTGTCCGGTCCACGGCGCAGATTGTTTGCATTTGACGGTAAGTGCTACTGTTTACCGAGTTTAAAATTGCAAATGCGTTGCTCCCCACAGGGGGAGGGGAGGAGGAGTTGTTGTTTGGGCCGTTTAATTTTAGTTATTATCAAAGACAAAGAACTGGTATACTTACGTGCATGAGCGAGAGACAGGGCCCACAGTCGTAAGTAAGACGCTGTATGAGACACAGCGCCCAGCACATACTCAATGGTATGGATACACTGAGTGATCAACTCTTCAGCCAAGCCACCATCGTGACCTTCCTTCTCCGTGACTTCACCTGTTTCTACACCTTGTTGGTATTGCTAGAACGAGAAAAGAGGTTAAAAGTACGTAAAACGAAAATACTGGATTCTTCCCTTCATTTGTTTATTATTATTTAATATCTCAGGTTTGTGTGTGATATTTCTCAATTCTATATCGTCTCACACAATAAGTTATAGTTACATAGGTAAACGTAACGTTACATATTTTATAACGAAGTAATCAACCATGGCAATCACAAATGTTGGATATTTTCTGAGTACCCACTACTTAGAATACATTCGACAGTGTTGTTACAGATTTGAGAAGAATTGTGTTTTTAATTTACATTAATTTTATATAATTTTTTACCTTTCGTTTCTTAGCCAAAAACGCCTTATAGATCGGCTTCCCGAAGAGCATGATGGGTATACACAGGAAGGCAATCGCCAAGAACGTCCTTTGCACCTCATTTTGGCCAGCGTACATCATTGCACGACATGGTGGCTTGTCTTCAGAACTCTTCATGAGCATCATATTGATGAAGATGATTAGGACTGAAGGGGCGCACGATGTGCCAAGGGATGGATCTAAAATATAATATACGGTGTGAACATTTGGTCCTGTATTGTGAATTCTCTATTAAGCAATAGGTACCTATTGTGTTGACAGAAAACTGCCTAAACAAAATTTGCTAATATTTATATGCTTGATGTAACCACCGCAAGTAAGAATGACAAAAAAAGCTTGTAGTTTTTGAATCGAAATTAGAATTTACAAACATAAAATATGATGTGAATATTTAGTCCGGTATTGTAAATGGGCAATCTTTTCTTTCTTTACTTATAGGCAACTGGCGTTCCAGTGTTAAAAAGTATCAAAAAAAAAATATGCTCGAAATGGGGTGTCAAAAGAAAAATAAACCTTGTGGTTTTTCGACCAACAACAAAAGCATATAACAAGCGTACATATATGCGACAATTATTGCTTAATAAGTGTATTCTATTAGAAAATTTGTAGTTTTTACCTTCCGAAACAGCCGAATACATGATCCACTTCATAAACATCAGCAAACAAAGATACCAAAACAAAAGCAGTAGGAACAATATCTGTGGTATGTACTGCAGGAATATCATCTCCGGTTTCCTGAAGAAGCTGAGGAATGAAAAGAGAATTAATTATATCGTCACCACTAATCATTGGAAACGTACTAAACATTCTAGTTTCTATGAATACAGTAATTACTTGAAGTTTACCACACTCATAGTTACACCGAACGCCATATGTATCACGCCGAATATAATTGACAGTTTCATCTTGAATGAATTAAGGAATATTATGTTGTTGGATGCGAACTGGAACAAAAAAATAAGGACATTAATATCTATCTTTACTTATATTATAAAGAGGTAAAATTTGTAAGTTTGTATGTAGGGGGTAACCTTTGGAACCGCTGGTTGGGTTGCCAAAATTCTTTCACTGGTAGGTAGCTACAATGTTCCTGAGTGCTATAGGTTATAAAACATTACGCTGATCAAATGGAGCTGAGCAGCGGGTGAAACAGCGCGAGAGTAGCTAGTGTTAAATATTTCTCAGACAATAACCAACTATCAAAATCCCTGTTGATCTTTTTTAAATAAATTTATTAAACTGTTTCAACATGCAAAAATGATAGCTTACAAAAAAAGAAAAATATTCTCACCTGCCACGCTGGGTCCAAACCGAACGGATAAGGTGTCTGTGTATACGCTGTCTTCGGATCTAATTCTAGCATCGTATGATTGCGTAGAACTCCATCTTCGTACACATTCCGCCAACTGGTTCCAAATATGTTCAAAGATTTTGAAAACATGTCATTGTATATCAGGCCGGTGTATATAGAAAATATCCCCATCAGTAGTATAATGTATCGTCCTCCAAAGAATATGTTCCATATTTCGTTGTCCGTCTTAATTTTTAAAAATCTCTTCTCGTAGATGACTAGTATGGCTGCGAAGGCTGTCATGATGATCCCGTGGCCGACGTCCCCGAACATCACAGCAAACAGGAACGGGAATGTTATGATTGTGTACAAAGCTGAAAAGAGCAAAGATTGTTTTGAATATTATATCTAATTCTAAAGTACATTCTAGTTGTCAATCGGTTTTATCACTTTCATCTAGCATCGACTCAGTACGAAAATGACCTAAAAATATTGATTAAGTTGGCATTATTTCTTTATTTATTTTTTGTGAGGAGATAATCATCAAATAACTTCTCAAATCCAGGGTGAAGCGAGAGGGAGTGTCAGACTCCTACTGAGTAAACCAACCCCTGCCCTCTTCCTTCTCCTGCTTTAGGCCGTAGCTGCGGTGCCTCATTGCGCTTACCCCGCAACCCCGACTGAACATCAGCCCTATAGGGCCCCGTCTGTGGTGGTGGTAGTGGACTCTTACTGACTAAAATACCCATGTTCCTTCTCCTGCTCTAGGCCGAGGCCTTGGTACTTTATTACGCTAGACTATGTTTTTACCTGGGTTAACTTCTCTGTAGCTGGCGATTCCATAGGAATCAATGAGGTTCTGGAAACCTCGTGTGAACTTATTTGTCCTATTGAACGTTGGTGGTATTTCATTGGTTGGTACGTAGTGTAAGATCGATGGGATGGGACTTCCACTTGCTTTCTGTAACAGAAAACATCAACCTTTTAAAATTCAAATTAAAGTATTGTTATTCTTAAAGCTGCTCAACTCACAGCTTGACAAAGGAAAGGCTTTATATGTATTTATATCTTAAATAAAAAGTTGGATGACGATTTAAGTGTGGGAGAGCCATGCTTCGGCACGAATGGGTCGGCTCGGCCGGAGTGATACCACGGCCTCACAGAATACCGGCGTGAAACAACCCACAGCGTTGTGTTTCGCCGTGTGAGTGAGGTTACCGGAGGCCTAATCCTTCCCCTACCCCAATCCCTTCCCAATCCCTAAATCCCCAATCCTTAAAAGGTCGGCAACGCACTCGTAACTCCTTTTTTGTTGCGGGTGTCCATGGGCGACGCCGATTGCTTACCATCAGGTAATCCGTCTGCTCGTTTGCCGTCCTATCATATAAAAAAAATGATAGTGTATTATAAGTCTGAAGATAGTTTAAGAGTTACTCAAGTGTTTTTGGACACATCTATGTCTTGCTGCAAAAGGATTGGGGCTGATAATAATGATAGTAAACATATTCTTATCGTTACAAAATCTATTTTTTGTTGATTTTTCTACTTGACCCGGAGGTTAACTGGTAGAGAATGCCACATGGCATTAAGTTCGCCTTTTCTACCAATTTCTTATCATTTTCTATGTATTAAAGCATAAATAATTAAAGTTTTTTAAAAACGAATACGAACCACTCCATTCTCTAGCGCTTTTTGCACGGCAGTAAGGTCTTTCCTCGGCACCCAGCACTCGGCAATAAGGCACTTCTTGACGATATCCATGCTAAACATGTTCAAAGTGTGATAAATGGCCTTCTCCTTACGGACAGCCACCATCCAGGTGCTTATGTCGCGAGCGATGTTTGTAAGGACCAGTCGACGATGATTCTCCGTTTGTTCCAATACCTGGAAATTAGAATGGATATCTTTAGAAGAGTATTTTGATTTACGTACACTTATGAATACTGACTATATTTTTTCATTTTTATTTATAGGTTTTAATTAGAATACAAAAGTTACATAACTATATAATCTTAAAGAAAGTATAATTTTTTTTCCAGTATAATAAATGTATCGTGTCACATAATTTCTTTTATTTATTTTCCGCCCGACGCAAAAACGACGGTGACGGTATGTTTGACGTGTCTGCTGTGCCATCGTAGCTCTCAAACGGATGATCCGAATTTAATGCGGTTTTTTTGTTTCAAAGGTATATCAGTCGAGAGTGTTCTGTTATGTTTGGTTTCGGAAATTGGTTCGGTGCTTCATGGTCATCAGGACGTGTTATAGCTTTTTATAGGGTTTAGCATTTTTAACCTTTTCTCATAATAGATGCGTACTTTTTTTTAGGCTTTTTTATTGATATTTGTTTTATTTTATTTCAGTTGTAACAGTTTTAATTAAATTCGTTTCCAATCAAATTTACCATTTCCAAATCCTTGATCCTGGTCCCCACTCCAGCTAGCATGTCCAGTTGGTCTTTGTACGTCGCAGGACACGGGTACAGCGTGGCCTTGAAACCATGGCAGACCTTTTTCACACGAAGCTTGATCTGCTCCCCGTGGAAGAATACGACGAAAACCGTCTTCTGGAGCTCGTGACCCTGGAAAGAAATGGATTATTTTAGGCTGTGTAGTGTGTACCAATGTATCAGTTTCCTTCTATTAATTTTAATCGTGGTTATTTGAGGCACATTTGTAAGACAATAGGAGCGTGAATCGGCGTTCGCTTGGGGTTTGATGAATTAATAATTCTCATTATTAGTTTATTCCAAATTTTGTATCTTTTGAGTAAGAAACCTATTCAAAAAGAATGTATGATATTAATAAACCCCGTCTTGAAGTAGGAATTAGCTACCTGGATAATGATAGATACGTTTTTCTAGTCACTGAACTGCACTGAAGTACTTTAGCAATATTTTTTAAATCAAAATTTTCGCCGTCTACGGACCAATTTATCTTAATACACGGTTCTACATGATACAAATGAGGTGCAATAAAACAGACATTAACTGAATATATGTTTCCTGAATTATTGCTGTCAGCATAAAGATGTTATTTACATTTTTACAATCCTAGCTTCCTGTGGAGACGAATATTTGAATTTTTGTAGAAAAATTGTTAATCGACTGTAAAATTATTTATGTTGCAACGAAAGCGAAATGGGAGCTTCGCAGTATTTTCTTTTATGTGGTAAAACGTCCAACGAGATTACGGATTACCTGATGGTAAGCGATCGGCGCTGCTCATGGTTATTCGTAAGTAACATAAGAGGAGATTTTGTTGAGGAGATTAGGGTTTTGGAGATTTATCCCTCCCTAATGGCAGGGAAGGGAAAGATTTGAGACTCCGGTAACCTCACTCACACAGAGAAACAGAACGCTGTGGTTGTTTTACGCCGTTTTTCTGTGAGGCTGTGGTATCATTCCGGTCTAGTCGACCCATAAGTGCCGAAGCATGGCTCTCCCAGACAATTCTTATAATGTTTGTGGTTTTCGTCGGGAACATTAGGTGCTAACCTGAAACTGTCAAGTAAATTCCGGGTGACGTCAATTCCATTTCGTCTAAAGGCGCTATGTCCATATTAACTGTCCCTTTGAGTTGCGTGAGTTTTAACTATAATTGTCACCCTTTTTAGGGATTACCTTGGCTGGTTCCCTTGGGACAGTTTTGCCGACGTTGTAGGTTGAAGGGTTTGTTATTGTTCCGTGGTAGGTAAAGTAGATCAAGGCTGTTCGTCGCTTAGTTTTAATGCCATAATGGACTTGGGGTTAGCTGGTCGATTCTTTATTTATACCTACTATTCAGTTAAGAACTTTTTTCCTTTTTAGTAGTAACTTGATCGATTTAGTTCGCGGTTTTTAAATTAAATCAGTCCCGTTTATTACCGGCGTATATAATAATATGTACATTCATATGTCTGTATATCATTTCTGTTTCTTCTCACAAAGAAATTAATAAATTATGTTTGACGACTTTCTCATGTAACCTTTAGGCAAGTAAGTTCGAATAGTTTTAAATCACAATAAGGGCTTATAATCATGATGCTGAGTGAGAAAGTTGTTAAAATATATAGGTAATTAATTTTACTGCCTCGGCTTAATCGTAATAGTAGTGCCGATTAAGGCGCCCACTTCTCATACACGAGGGCGCGGGCGTAAAAAATGTCAAATACCAATATTACTTTTTCTTAATATTATTGATATATCAGTGATATGAAGGGATGGAAAAATACCGCGAGGACAGTCTCCTCGCTTTCTACATAAGACATTACGAATTAATTTGAAGTTTTAAATCATAAACCTCCTTGGCAAGCATTCTTTGTGCTCAAAACCTTATGTTAAGGTTATAAATTAGGTTTCAGTATATCAAGGACTATGTTACTTATGTGACAGATGAGGGGTGGTGAGAGATCTATACCTATATTTTTATTATTTCTTCGCATGCCAGCAAGAGTATGGATAATATGACAGTCCTTAAAATATAAAACATACCATACATCGGTATTTTCCAAACTATATAAAAGAATGAACTATAAACTGCCCAACTGTTTCAAAGAACTATAAACTGCTTATAGTCGAAACAAAAGCGCAACAATGAGATAGCTATCAAAACATTTCCCGTGGACTATAAATCATTCAGTTTTCACGTCTGTCTAGACGAAGGTCATCGCCCTGTTTCGTGAACGGTCGAGATTTATTCCTAACTGAAAACCGCCATATTGAAATTGTTCTTAATTTTTTTTATATAATTGTTGACATAATGATTAACAACTTGACTTGTCTAAAGAAAGATGCGAAAGTTTCGCACCGTTCATGACTTATTTGGTGTGTCTATTTGAAACTAAAAGCTAGTCACAGCTTCATCTAGATTCTTTTTAGCGCTGTTCCGCTGAATGTATAAAATTCATCATTCATTCATAGATTTTTTTTTTCCAATAACGGTTACCAACATGACAAATACAATTATCCGATTCGGTGCAGTCTTTCGACCGTTACTGTTATGAACATGCAGAAGTTTTTGTGGTCCATTTTTATTTATAAAAAATATCAGTGTTGTTTGAATAAGTACCCAATTTATAACCATGCAGTACAATTGAGTCTATTTCATACTTAATTTTAGTTTAAACTGCATTTCCCTCCAACCCTTGTTTGAACAATGGCTGCGAGGTTATTTTTTTTTATAAAAAGCTTTGTAATGGGTAGCAACGTCCACAAAAATCAATATAAAAGGCGGGTTAACGACCGACCACTTGTTAACTCACATAAGGTGCTTTAGTTTTTTTACTGCAGACTTGCATTCAGATTTTGTGGCATTTTCTCTAAAATATAATTCGTTCTTAACAAATATTTATATTGTTTTTGTATGTACTTATCTTGGGCACACAATCAAAAGATCTTTCATATTAATGCTTATGCCATAAGAAATATATAAAAACAAACATAAATATGTATAAAAATGTGTGAGATACAAAAGAAATTGCTTTTGTCTCGTATAGATAAACATTACCAGCATGCTACAGATTAGGTAAATGAAGATAGTAGGGATTATTTAAAAATATTATTCTTCGGAGTCCTGGAAGCCCATACGCCTTTTAAAAATTGGATGCCAGTTATAACAATGATTACCAATGTGACTTTTTCCTAGTTACGTATCCTTTATAAGTTTATTTAGACGCTATGGTGAAGGAAACTGGGACTCGTAATAACTAAATTAAAAGTTTTAAATCGTATATCAAACTTGAGAAAACGTAGTAAATAATTCTCAAACCTAATCTGCGTGAGAAGAGGCCTTTGCTCAGCATTGGCAACTTATAGGTTAATGTTGATAATGATGATGATATTCTATCTGGCTGCTTTGCGAAAACTAGTGTGATAAAATATTAGTTTTCCAACTTCTTATTCCTACTTCTCAAGATATTTTAAGGTACTAAACGTGTTTTAGGGTTGATTGTCCTCGGTACAGTTAATGAACTATTGAAAACGCAAAAGCTTGGAAAAAGTATCAGCTGTTTCCCACAATGTTGGTAATCGCTATTGCGTCGACAAATTTTGGTAGCAATGTCCTTAGTTTTTCATAAATTTGTTTGTAATGACTAATAAGTAATAATATATAATGTGCGACCAGAGTGATACCACAGCCTCACTGAAAATCAGCGTGAAGTAATCATAGCCTTGTTTTTCTCCGTACGAGTGAGGATACCGGAGGCCCGATCATTTGCGGGTGTCGCCCGTTCGTTCGCCACTGAATCAAATAGAAAAAGTAGTATGGAGAAGATAAGATTTCTAATAAATCTCCTAAATTGTAAGCAAACAACATCAAGAATCGGATACGAATTATTGAGTGGTATCATTGCGTAAACTGCAATGGTGTCAATCCGTAAATTTATTAATTTAAATTCCAAGAGAAATTTCAGTTAACAACAAAAACCAATCAAAAAAAGCACTTATAAAAAGTCCCAAATATGATTTTAAAAACTATATTCAAGCTTCGTGCTTTCCATAGTCTAAAATACATGGTTTGGTACATAGGCAGGCTATTTACTTTGGACATAATTCCGTCTAACCTGTACATTGCGTGTTCTATTCACATGACGCGACCAAACATTTTATGGCGAAGCCTTCATACGTGTTATTAAATGAATAATTCTGATTTAGATAGGTCAACGCCACTGGTTAAACATACCTAAGTTATTTGAAAACTAGGCATAGTTATTTAATCTTTTGACCTGTTTCATGGAATAGGTGGGAATAGGAGGATCTGCCTATGGACAGCGTTTAACTTTTACGAGTAAGAAGGAGTACGCTCGTTTCTTGAAGGTTTAAAGGTTATATTGGTTCGGAACCTTATTTGAGTTATCCTTTTTTTGTTGGAGGAAAATCTTCTAATGTCTTTTCTAGCCTAGGGTGGGGCGACAGAGAGCAGATTCTTGCTGACTAAAAACCACATCGTTCCTTCTCCTGCTCCAGGTCGAGTCCATGGTGTCTACATTATCGCGTTTGCTCCTACAACCCTGGCTGTTTAAGTTATACTTTATAATGTAATCAGGCTATCCAGTGAAATGGTATTATTAGTGGACTCTTATTATTAAATCCATTGAAATAATACTCATGTTCGAGCATGAGCAAACCACACCGATAAAAAGGTTGTATGTATAGTAGTAGCACTTGTTACCACGCAGAAACACATTCTAAAACCTTTATTTCTTTTTCTATTGAATCCTCCAATATATTTATTTAACGAAGAAGTACGTACACTACAGAATTTCAATAACGATACCTCATCGGTAAAATAATTTGACAGAAACGAAGGCAAAATCGGCAAAATTTATAGAGGAGCCGTTAACAAAATATATTGCCTGCCAATATCATTCGAATAAAATAGCAAATTATCTATTTCTGTCGTACAGGCGACCGCTGCGATACAATGCGTCAAACTTTATGGCACTCGATAGAAACTAAATCTTGATTCAGAAGGTAAGGGAAACTCTAAAGAATTTTTTTATTAATGAAAACTGGACTATCATACTTAAGGAAAGATAATCTGATAGCAGATAGAGATAAACTTCAGCGTTATAAGTTGATTTAGGTACTACAGAAAATCGGTTATTGTAAAGGAAAACATTATGAGGAAACCTGGGCTTGTAATTTATCATCGTAAGTTTGAAATCGCCTATCTGCCTTCAGTAAATCTTCTACGCGTGAGAAGAGACATGTGCTCAGCAGTGAGGCCTTGTAGACTGATAATGAAGATAATGATAAATATCACTACTGCAAAGTCATCAGAAACAAAAAAATCTGACTCTAATTTGGTGCCTGATACAGAAAACTACATAATTACAGATGAGTCAATTTTACTTCTGGCGCCTGGAAAAGCTGTAGCAAATATCAGCTATCATGAGTACGCACCTTTCACTATTATATCAAAAAGGGTTACAAATATACCATAGCTACTGCTAAATATACATCTCTGCGTGGGCTTGTCACATAGTTCAAGGGCTCACCATGAACTTGGTTTGAACTCTCAACCTTTTCATCGGGAAACCTACAAATCAGATCAATACTGTTCAGGACAATCATGTTTTGTAAGTAACGGTTTGTTGATAGTGGATACGGTGAAGAAAGGTTGTTTGGTTAAAACCAAATATTTGTTGAGGTCTGAAATGGAAGCAGTTTTAAAACTCATATAGTTTTTGCTATTAAAAGCCCTTGCTCACACATTTGGTGTTGTCTCTAAAAAGACGCTGTTCACCAGAAAAGAATACAGAATGTAATTTGAAAAAACAACGTGGTACACGAGTTTATGGGCAAGTTATAAGAAAGTGTTGAAAGCAGCCCTAAACATATAATCTTATGAGATAAAGCTTCGGCTAAAAAGTGATCTGTAATCTAAATATACGTAGATTTAATACAACGTGTTCCAACTAACCGCAGTTTCCGACAACCGGGCAACTTTATAGTTTCCGTTAAAAGAGTTTGGTTGCGGGGTAAAATTATAGGCGTATAAACAAAACCATTGTTGCCACGATGAAAATTTGAATTAAGAAAATGTGGATTCTATGGAATGGAATGCTCCTCAAATTCAAAAAAGTTCGTTATAAAATGAATCTTACCGTGATAGGATCCTTCAAAGGCTCATCAATTTGAGCCTGTTTGAAGAAGATGTTTCCATGAGATATTCTCCAGAGCATTTTCTCGAAGGCCGGTACCCTTGCCGTGGTCACCACTCCAGATATGAAGCCAAGATGTCCTAATACCGCGTCATTGTTGTATATTTGTACTGAAGCAGAAATCTTCCGCTGTGCGCTATGGTCTTGGAAAAAAGTTTGCATCTTCTCTATCAAGGTCCTAAGTTCTATAAGAGCTAAATAGTCGCTCTTCAAGTTCCTTGCGTTTCTTGTTATCTCCTGTATCTCTGATTCTATGAAGTCGATTCTTTCCTGGAAAATAGAATAGGTGAAATTAGTTCACCGGTTCAAAGTAAAAATCATTTATTCCAACTAAACCATATAATATCGGTACTTTTGAAATGTCAATGTTAATAGAATAGTAGTCTGTCAATCTGTTCGTTCGTCCGTTCTTATAATAATTCATTATACATACAACTGTCCGTCTAAAAAATATAAGGTATAGATTTAAAATAAGTACTATACATTTGAATGCACGATACACATTTTTACTTTTCTTTTAAAAATCCTTCCCTTTTTATTTCCAGCAGGTGCTAAGAGGCCCTGGACATCGCTAAACTTATCGCTAAAATAATCTTGGATATTCAAGGTGATGTGTATAGCATTATTCTATTCATTTTAATATTCGAACCGAAGATGAAGCGATAAAATTTAAATGACAATAAAGTTTAACAATAAATATCCAAGCATCCATTTACCAGTTTCAAAGTAAGTTATAAAACAAAATGGTTCTACGGAATATAATAGTGATAACTGCCAATGCATTTGTATGGAACATTAAATAGTAGTCGAACAAAATGCATTTCATGGAACTTGCAATAGAATCGTTAAATCGAGGTATTAATGACTATTTTGTGTTATTGCTCTGTGTTCACGACGAAAGGTTGAACCATTCTCTGTGAATTTTCTCTTGATTAATTTTATACTTAATTGCCTTTTTTTCTTGGGTTTTGTTTTAATTGAGGCTCATTGAGAACAAATAATGATATGAACAAGTAACCAAGTAAGTTAACCAAGGATAGTTTTTAAATCTCAACTAACAAAAAATAAGCTTAAAACTATGAAAGAAAAATGGATGCGGTCGATTTAAGAGATTAATTTTTGGCTGAATTTGAATAATGTTCAGTTCCAAAAGTATTCATAAGTTGTCTTATTTAGGGTCAATGAACTGAGTTTCTTAGTATTTTGGATCAAAGTCAAAGTCAAATCATTTATTTCAAATAGACCAGTACCTCTAGACAAGCACTTATGAACGTCAAACAAAAGAAGAAATATCAAGAAGTCCAACTTCGTGTATGTCAGTTTGTTGGTCTATGCTCTAGTACAGCTATCTGCTCGTTCCAAAGTGTAGATTCCGATGGAGAAGAACGAGCAAAAAACTTCATGGTTCCTCTTTTTCAATCAGTTTTACATTTATTTCTTTGTTACATAACTTCAAGACTAGATTTTGAAGTCTAAAATAGGAATAAACTATGTCTCAAGCGCCTTTCTTAGCTCAGCATTAATCTTTTAGATCCTCCAGCAATCCTCAGTCTATTACAACATCCTCAAGCTGAAGTATGATGTCATGGCAACTCATAAATAACAATAACCGTGTCCTGTGATCCCCGCTATATCCTGCGCCGAGGGATCTAATTGGTGTAACCTTGTTGCTAATTGTTTCACAGATGCCTGCGACACTGCGTTAATTGTGGTTTGTTATGTAAGTGAGTTGGTTTTCTGTGGTGTTTTTGGTAAAGCATCGAGTGTAGTTGCCGTTTTTTGATTTGATATTTATTATAAGATTTTATTGATTATAAGAGCTTGTTCTCTACTTTGGAAAAGTAACAGTTCTATAAGGGTATATTTTGTTCTCATTTGAGTTTCCATTAACGCAATTCTCAGTATTTTCTGGTAGCCACGGAGTTAGGGCGCTTGCTACTCAGTCAAGAGAATTTTGCATTCGAAACCTAAAAAAATACCAATGTGACATTTTCGAGTTGTGTGTACTTTCAATTATTATATTAAGTAAACAATCGGCGAAGGAAAGCGTTGAGTACAAAACTGACGTCTTGACCTATCTTATATAGAATCCTTCTATAAACGAAAAGTAAGCAGTGGGCATTATAGTCTAATATTATATGCATGTACATTCTCAGTTCGATCACGAAGACCTTAATTGTGGAACGGGTAGAAATTGTCTACTGTTTAATAAGACTGAAACGGTCTTGACAAAAACAAAAGTTATGTAAACAAATATTATTTTTACATTGTTAACGTTATCAACGATTAAATCACAACTGTAGGACCTAATACAAATCTCTATCTTTGTTATAAGCAACCATTAATTTCACCGAAAACCCATAATATTTTGTTACACCGCACCCAAACTTACAACATCCCACAAAGCAGCTCCTGTACTAAATTTCATGGCGATCTGTCTAGCAGTTACGGCGATATTGGGTAACAAACACACATACATTATATTTATAGTTGTATTATAGTGTCTGGTCGGGCAATAATAACAGATGTTGGTGCGTAAGCTAAATTAATAGGTTTGTTCTTTTAACAGCCGTACATTACTATTAATCTTTTTCCTAATGACAACTGGCGTATTTTTTTAGCATTTTTATTTACTATTCTTCTCTGAGAATCTATCAACAATTATTCTTCGTTCTGTTCAGTCAATTTTATTTATTGTAGGCGTTTTGTTTTAACAAATAGTTTTTAAGTAAACTATTACTGAATTAATTACTTCCTCCTTTATATTTTCTTTTATAATGTTAGTTTTGTTTTTGTTTAACTGTGGAAATCAAGTGTAGATGGACGTGGGTACGTGTAGTAGGTTTTACGTAGAATTTGTTAGTGTACGTCATCATTATTTATCTCAATATATCTTAGGAGCAGATGAATCTGTACAGAGGATGCAAATAAATTTTGTATTGTTTAGAGCTTTATCCACATCAAAACTAAAGATAGATTTGTATTCGTGAACTACGAGATCACCATTGATCTACTAGTAATTGTCGTAAATTGAAGGTTTAGGTCGAATTTTAGAAATATCTTAAATTATACATTTTAAATTTCTAATTTCTTCTTTCACTTTAGGACTGTTAAACATGAATGGAACATTAGACCAATAGTATCTACCTTAATTATTATGTTTTTTGCTTACTCATGTAATAATTTGACGAGATACTCGACTAGTTTCAAGCCATGGTAGATGCCCATATTCATGAGCAGCATTCCGCGACACGCGACGCGGCGGCTGTCGCGTTGCTACTGCCTGAATGCTGCTCAGTAATAGCTCGAAAGTTATAATAAAAGTAGATATCTTTCTTCTTTGCTCATAAAAGCTTTTTCTGTATCTCAAAATGTATCTTACGGTCTTTTAGACGTATTTTGCTTTGAAGCAATGTGGTGATGTTGTTACCTCCAATATGTTGATCTCTCGAGGGCTCAAGCTACAGCGTTCAGGTTTCGGAGGAGGCGGTGGCTCAGGTAGCTCGCCAGCCACCCAGCGTAACTTGCGCTCCATCTCACTGCATCGTCGAACTTCACTGACGTAGCGACGCTGGAAGTCGTTCACGTGTGGGTTTAACTGTGGAAGAAAGACAAATATGAATTCCACAAGATTAAGATTGTTAAAAAATAATTATGATAGTCTTTTGTCCCGCCATTGTCTCATCGTCATCGATAAAAAATTATTACCCTGTTGGCAGGCTGTTAATTCATAGGGCCATGTAAGACCGTCATTCTAGTTTACGGATTTTTTAAAATAACAATGTGTCCCGTTGTCTACCCTATAAATATTTTTTTTAAATTGGTAACTTTTCACTATTTATCTTGAGTACTTTGAATGATTTGAAAAAATTAAACATTCTGTGACCAAAAATAAATAAATATTATATTTAAATACACCATTGACTTCAATTTTGCAAGCACAATGATGAATCGCGACCCTCTATTTGGAGCAAGATAAGGAACGGAATGTTTTTACTCAGAACAGTCTGACACTCCTTCTCGATGGAAGAAGTAATGACTATCCGCCTTTAAAAAAAACTGTTGACTATACTTCTCCTATATGCTTTACAAGGCTAAAATTCATTAAAAGTTATTAGGGGCCACTTAGTACGCCGCACTTCGCACTCCTGAATTATGCTTAACGACTATCTAGGTAATAAGCTGGCGATTGCTTGTTAATATTCAACAATGTTACAGCACTTTTTATTTATTATGTACTTTTAACAATTTAAAAGTAAATTATTAAAAGTAATCTGTTCTGTTTTGACGAAAAAAATCCATTTGAAAACTGATCATTGCGATTGTCGTGACTTAAGTTTGGGAAACCCAAAATTCGGCCAATCCAAACCAGTCATTTCCCTCCCCCATCAAACCCTCACAATTTCAAAATCTGCGAGACCCTAATTTCCAAAAGACCGGAAACGCACTTGTTAATCTTGTGTCTCGGGTGTCCATGGGCGGCGCAGATTGCTTACCATCAGGTAATCCTCCCGTTTATTTCTCGCCCTTTAACACAATAACATAAAAAAGGGTTTGTTTTTGCGTCAATGAAGGCCTCCTTATAACTAAAACTTTGTAATAACTGAAAGGATTTTGTTTATTCTTCAAATAGTACAAAACCTTGAAGGTTCAAGGTTGTCAGAAACAGTAATATGAATGAATATAGTCGATCAATTACAATTTATCTGCATTTTATTGATGGCGCGCCCCGTTCGAATTACGCGGCTTCCTAAATGTTATAGGTTACCCCCTGTTTTATTGCTTTCTTCTTTATAGACATACGTATAGTATTTGTAATAAATATAAAATGATAATAAATGTTATCACAGGCTCGTTGTGCACTGAAAAGGAACGTTGTGACTGCATTTTGGTCAAAAATATATTATGTATTATTTATTTAGACTTAAGGTTTAAAAATAATGGTATATATTATGTATCTGGCGAGAAAGAACCACAGCGTTATGTTTTATCATGTGAATGAGGTTACGGGATGCCCAATTCTTCTTCCCCTTCCCAATCCCTGAATTCTACCGAAACTCTAATCCCTAAAGGGCTGTTAACACACTTGTAACTCCTTTGGTGTTACGGGTGTCCTTGGGCGGCGTCAATTGCTTACCATCAGGTGATCATTATGCTCGCGGTACCGCGTCTGTTCACCTTAAAATTATTTGACTAAGAATTGTTCTCATAAACCCAAACATTATTCCTAAACTTATTTTCTACGTTCTAATAATCTTACACTAGACTCCACTACACAGCATTATACTCTTAACAACGAAGCAGATTGTATTGTACAAGCGGTTGAATAGGACGAGCAGAGACCTCGTGAAATGGGAAGTGAACGATTGTGGCGGATAAAGGTACTAGTAATGTAATTTGTTGGCACATTGAGATGGAAACCCGACCATATGTATATTGGTGTCACATGTTTTATATTGTAACTAGTTTTTGCCCGCGACTTTGTTCGCGTGGAATAGTGACCGACAGATACAAAGGGTAAGCCGAATATCATCCCTTCCTTGATTTAGGAAAAACTAAAATTTTATTTAGCCTAGGGTCGGCTAGAAACAGTCACATTTGGTTTTTAGTTTACAAATTATCCTATGTTCTTTCTCGAGTTCCAAACTGTGTCTGCACCAAATTTCCCACAAATAGGTTCAGTAGTTTAGGCGTGAAGAAAAGACAGACAGGCAGACAGTTGCTTTCGCATTTATAATATTAGCTTGGATGATAGAAACGACATTAAGATGACATAAAACTTTGTTATAAATGGTAATAAAATATTGTAGAATTTTACCTTGATGAAAAAAAAATCATCATTTTTTGTTATTATTCGTTGTAAATGTACCCACGACCCAAGAAAACGTCAGTCACTGATTTCCTACAAGAAAAATAACAGTATGCTACATTTTATAGGATATGAGAGTGGATACCTCAGTTTATCTTCAATCAAAAAATATTACAAGAACTAGAGACAGTATTGCAACAAAATATTTTAACGAACATTTTTTATCTTTATCGAATTAATCTCGATAAGAAAATAACGAATGGCTAATTTGTTACGTGACTTCAAAGATTTTTGGGAACTGCCAAGATTGGCAAAACATTTTTTTTTTTGCAAGTGTAATCGTCGTCTTAAAATTGAGGTGGCTTCTCCCACATACATAGGCAACATTTTTATAATATTGTCAAATGATATGACTGGTTTATTAATAAAATGGTAACACCAGAAAAAATGCATCTGTTTTGCCGGCCTTTTCGCGGTAATGGGTTTGCCGTTTTCTCTGAGTTATGTTACTCCGATCGAGCCGGTTCATTCACACTCCCTAATACATATTTTTATATTATAACTAGCTGACCCGTTTTTGGCTATTAAAAAATAAGGGTTGATCGTAGAGTGGTGAAATTGAGGATTGTATGTATTTTTGTATGTTGTATCATAAAAAATAGACATAAAAAATTTGTCTAAAAAATAAAAACAAAATTTAGGGGTGGACTACCCCTAACATTTAGGGTGATGAAAAATAGATATTGGCCGATTCTCATAGACACCGGATAAGCACAAACAATTTAATCAAAATCGATCAAGCTTTTTCGGAGGAGTATGGCAACAAAAACTGTGACACGAGAATTTTATATACATATATTAGATAATATATTGTTCACTTTATGTTATTATATTATAATAATTGTCATTTCTTAGTAAAAATAACTTGATAAGTAATATCTATGTATGCGAAAGTAGTCACAGAACATTCTAACGAAGACGGATAATAAAACAAAATTACGTTTATAATCTTTGGTCTTTATTGTGACTGTAAGGATCGAGGCTTAGACTCCATAGTGCGAATACAATACCTCATGTTTTAATTCAATTACATTTTAATATCAAACATTGGCTTTGTTAGATCATTCTAGACTAGAGGATGAAATAGTACCATATATTACAATATGCTGAAAAATCTTGTTTATTATATTATGTTTTACTATACAAGTTATACAAGGAGGTTAAGGCGCCTGGCAAGTACCAATGTGACTTTTTCCGAGTTGCATGTACTTTCTATTATTATTTAGACCACTGACAAACGGTGAAGGTAAACACATCGTGACGAAACCTGGACTTATAATTTCTAATTATAAGTTTGAAATCGCCAACCCGCATTGAGGAAGCGAGGTGATTAATGCTCAAATCTTCTTCGTGTGAGAAGACGCTTTCGCTCCGCAGTGGGCACTTATAGGCTGATAATGATGATGATACTAGTAGTATTTCGAGGTTGGACGCGGAGCGCGTGAGGAAACTATTTTCCTCACGCCCCAGCCATAGCAGTAGGAGACGCTCTGAGCGGCCGGGATCGAGCAATGATCTTCGGTCACCGTAAGCATCGTACGACGGTGACTAGAGCTAGACCCGAGCATAAGGTACTAGGCGTCAGCGCACACCTCAAAGAGCTAATAGACCACCATAGATGGAGCCTAGGGCCGATGTTTAGTTGAGGTTAATATAAAATCAACAATAGCATAGAATCAACAAACTAAAATTACGGGTAAAAAATGATTTGGGTGCAAACGCAATAATGAACTGCGATCCGGCCTGGAGAAAGAGTCAAGTCTAAAAACACCCCGTTTCTTCTGCTGTTTATGGCAGAGACAACGGTACCTTATTGTGCAGGCACCCACAACCTGGGCAATTCAGTTTGTTGAAGACACGCTGGTGTCGAAATCTACTGTTATTTTTAAAACCGTGTATTAACCATATGAAGCTACATACTGGACTACATACACTAAATATCAGTGTACGTGTATGTACTTAAAACATAGAAACCATTGTCATTTCAATTAAAAACAATAATTCTTTGTGTAAGTGGGTACAATTGCTCGGGTCAGGAATATGTGGGAATCGCTGTACTGTGGGATTATGTATTTAGTCAGTATACCTAATATAGACGACATCTATTCACAGTAAAATATAATATAAAAAATAAAATAGTTCCCCATTCAGATTATATGGTGTGAAGAGGAATTAAATAAAAAAAGTCTGCTTTATTAGTCGAGCCGTCGCTAGTATGACAGTCTAGCAAGGGATCTCGGCTCGATTCTTCAATAGGGGTTTTTAGAGAGGTGAAATCATTGAATTACTTTTTTCACCCGCCGAAGGTGGGCGGGGAGGACGTCCTCTGCTCCGGGCCAGGGCTGCGACATATTATTGTGTTTGTACGTGGCTGGACATCTGCCCTAGTCCCCATCCGTGGAAGTTTGATAGCTGCCGTGACGCTGAGGTCTGATTCTTGTTGGACGACGAGCTACCCTTACTTGCTGACCCGCGTCTAATTCGTGCTAATTACTAAGACGTGGATAATTTTAATAACCAAATTATCACAGAATTCAGAATAAATTCTTCAATAATTGGCAGTAACGTACGCAAAAACTGACGATACAGTTGAATTAATAAATAACTATAGTCATGTTAAACGTGTTTATCTATTTATATACTTGTATTACACAATAATTATGATTACAGTTATCAGTATCACGTATTGAGAATATTATCTCAAACTACGACCTCCTTGTTATGCATTC